GTCCTCGTATCAGAGAAAAGATATATAAAGAGAGAAAAAATTCAATAACATTTCACGGGAGAGGACAACCTTATGAATTTATACATTAAATATAAGATATATTTATACGCGGAAAGGACGATGTCGCTGGAATATCTGATTTAACTAGATGCAGAAAATAATTTTGTTGAACCATCAAAATAGTTATGTAGAAATCTCAAACATAAAGAGTAAAAGGTTTTGACATTCTAATAACCAGTTTGAACGTCCTACATAATTATTTGAATGGTATAACAAAGTTTTATTTTCAGATCTAGCTAAATTTTTGTATGCAGCAAAATCGTCCTTTCCGTGTATTAATCAATTTTTATCAAAATCCTCTGCTTTTGTTTTTCCTCTAAATTGACATATTGGACATGTTATTATATAATAACGCTGAAATAGTGCCATATTGTGAGACAAGACATACCATGGAATAACGAATTATAACAAATTTTACTCAGAAAAAGGTGTAACATTTAAAAATAGATTTTCCTCTAAAAGTTGAATAAACTTTTCACGTGTCCTGCATCGTGGTATCTATGAAGGATGTGAATGCATGATTGTCGCGTTTTTAACATTCTTGTAAAATATCAACTCGCCGTACGCACATTACGTGTCTGATCGCTACAAGCCAACCTAATAACACTGCAATTCGAGTAGCGCAAGAAGAAAAAGGTTTCCGCCGCCGCACGCACGAGAACGATGGACGGAGCATTTACGCACGTGTGTTCACGCACACACGCACGTATGCGTTACACACGGCTTCAGCTACTCGCCGGCGGGCCCGTGCTTGTACGGGACCTTTAGCGGCTCGCAAGCCACAGCCGGGACGATCAATGACAACCTCTCTCTCTCTCTCTCTCGCTGCATCCTCGTCAGGTTTACCGTAGGCATGGTTAGTTCGCCTTCTATCTCTATCCCTCTCACTCTTTCTCTAAGCTCCGTAACGACGATGGAGAAGGACGCGGAATGACATAGCGAAACGGGGAGAGAGAGAGAGAGAGAGAGAGAAGCGCTCCCTCTCAATCAAGATAGACGCGAGAGAGGCTTAGCACCGGCAGAGGAGGCGAACACGAGCGCGGTGGCGGCGGCGTTTCTCTCCATGAGGGGAGCAAGCGAGAACGTCTCGAAGCCACAGTCGACGGAGCCCGACGAGAGGGGGAGACTTATACCGCTTCGGGTCTCTCGGAGTCGGAGTCTCGTAGTCGGCGAGCGGGGGCGGGGTGCGGGAGGAAAGGAAGGGTGGCCGATGTAGAGACTGTGGTGCGAGTGAGACACAAGGAAGGCACGGAATCACGTAGCGAGACGAAGAAGAGAGGAGAGCGCGAGCGACCGGTAGACGGTATACGAAGCGGGACGAAACAGCGCGAAAGGATGGAGAGAGAACGAGGGAAAGAGATAGGAAGTGAAACGCGGAACAGGAGGAAGCGAGGTAGGGCGGACGGGAGGAAGAGCCGCGGCCTGTCTGTGCCTCTGCTTCGGAAAGTGACTAATGACTAGCCGGCCAGACCTACTCTCCTGCCACCCTCGAGGCGAACGAGCGAGAGGGACCGAGTAGAGAGCAGAAGAAGAGGAAGGGCTCTCCTCTCTCTCTCTCCCGTGAGAGTTATCGCGGTGGCAAACCTTTCCTCTCCACCGTTGTTATCTCGTGGCCCTCGACGACGGTCAACCGTGAAAAATGAGTGTCGTGAGCGGGTGATATTTTGCGGGACGCCATGGAGAAGAACGGAAATGGAGCGAGCGAGAAAGAGACAGACAGAGAGAGAAAGAGAGAGAGAGAGAAAGGATAGGAAATCTCGGAGGCATGCAAAATCCCGTGGATGCTGCCGCCGCCGTGGGGCGGGATGGACGAGGGAGGATGGATCCTTTCCGCTCCGACCACCCGGAACTGTGAATCCCGATCGATGGCGAACCCAGAATGAGTGAGCGTGCGGAGCGGCGGAATTCTAAGCGCGCCCGCCGTGCTCTTCCTTTTCCGTGAGAAAGAGTGCCGCTTGGGCGTCCGGAATCCCACGGCACCGCGACGCGCGCGTCAAAACCACACAAACGGCAACTGTAAAATGTAACTAATAGAGCTACAATTTTAGAAGGATAACTTGGCATAGAGTTACTTTCTTTTCCCTTTTAATGTGTATTTGCGAATTTCTCGCGAGAAAAATATCTTATGTTTACATATTTAATTTTCTCGTCAAATATCGTTGCATAGAGGAATTGAAAAAGTAGATGACGCTCTTTAGTTTTAACAATAATCATAATTTCGAAATATGGAATTCCAAAATATACTACGGCAGCGACAAATGCTCGACGAACAGTCAAATAAATTTTGACTCTGCGTTCCGAGGAGTAAAATTCGCTGATTCGGCAATTTATCGACGTGGAAGCATCGAATAAAATAAGGCTACACTCTGGTTGGTGAACTGGAGGAACTTGAGAACACGGTATCTGATTTTTGTGAGATTGGCGGTCGCATTACGTGACGTACGCTACGTTAGACAGTACCGTGAAAGCGTCCGCCTCTCGCGATAAAGTGAAATGTAATTGAGCAACCGGGAAAAAGTGTACGCTGCGAGAGAGCGTCTTACAGTTCTACACCTCTCACAGATATACGAATGATAACGGCATCGTAGCTCTAGAGGAAACGATACTAACGAGAGAGAGCGAATTCGTTCAGCGACAAGCAATTTCCAACAATATTCGGGGACACAGTTAACTATCAAAGGCTGTATAAGAAATCACTGTTAGAGCTGTTAAAATAAAAAATTACAGCTACCGCAATAAATTTGCATTTTATTAAATAATTGTTTCGAAAAGTGTCGGCCATGCATCGGACCGATCTGTCAATCGAATTTCATCCGTCGAGAATATAAATCAATTTTACAGATTAGATTATTGCTTCGTTTACCGAGATTATCTGTAACCTCATGATCAGTTTAACGAGACATTCCAGCGCGAGTAAATCGCAGGATATGCCCGGAATACATCCAAGCGCAGACCCGATAGGGTGTGCACGATGACGTAGTGCTGTGTAATAGCGAATTTGGTTGGATGAGGTAGTGCGCACTAGGGCACGTTAAAGGCTATCGCATACAATCAACATAAAGGTACACAACAAAACGAGTTAAATCACAAGAGGCTTGATACAATCCGTCGCATTGTGTTTGGGAAAATGTACGAGCTCGGCATTTTGTCAATCATGATGGTATTTATATCGCGCTTTTAAGTCCAGATGTGTATAGTGTACGACAGGCTTTAATCTACAAAAGAGAGAGAGAGAGAGAGAGAGAGAGAGAGAGAGAGAGAGAGAGAGAGAGAGAGAGAGCGCTGGTGCATCCAATCGAATTCGCCGTGAGTAATTTAGCACGTTATCGGATGGCTTTAAAGTAGCGTATCAGACGTGGAAGCCTGAGGACGAGGAGGCGAAAGAGAGAAGGACTCTCGTGAGTTTCGTTTTGCCGAATTCCACGGCGAGAAGACGCGGATAGAAAATCGCGGAAGTGTTACCGACCGAAGAGGCGAACGGCGCCGTGGCAAACGGCCCCCCCCCCC